AGCTTTCAAAAGCCAAGCTTTGGGCATTTCCAGCAGAGGGACAAAATTCTGTGCAGCCCATGGGTCACTAGCACAGTTCCAGGTGTCCTATTTTAACCTCCCCGTGGAGATCTGGACCCTTACTACCCTCCCGGCCTTCCGCAAAGCCACCAAGTCCTGGCTGCTCCAGCAGGCCGGGGGGCTTGTGAAACATCCAGCCCCACGGAAATTGTGAATGTTGCGTCTTTTTAAAGTGTTGTCTTTGTCTATTTATCCCCCTCCCCTTGTCTGTTGTGAGCCGCCCGGAGTCCTCCGGGAGTGGGCGGCATACAAGACAAATAAAATGAAATGAAAATTTATGTGTGACTGCAGGGAGTATTTCCATGGGTGCACCTGCCTCTCTTTAGAAGGAGGGGGGAGTGTGTGTGTGTGTTTTGCTTCCTCCCCCCCTCCTTCCTTTGGAGCCTTCCTCCTCCTTGGAGCCGCCCATCCTAGGGCGAAATGGGAGCATCCTTTGGGAAAAGAGCCAATGTCCCTGTTTTAATGATGGCTACAATAAACGTTTCCTCCTGTTTCCCCCTCAGGGACAGAACTGACCTTCAACTACAACCTTGACTGCCTCGGCAATGAAAAGACGGCGTGTAAATGTGGTGCTCCGAACTGCAGCGGCTTCCTGGGAGACAGACCAAAGGTATCCCCTCTACGGGCAACGGAGGAGCCGCTCCCGCGGTCGGCCCTCCGAGGAGCCTTTTACGGGGCATCCCAAGGCAAGGGTTGTGGCGCCAAGGCTCCTCGGTGCGAAATAACTTAAGAGAAGGTGCCCAGAATCTGGAACCCCTAAACTGCCAATGAAATTTGGCAAGTTTTTAAAAACATTTTGTGACGTTAAAAACATCCCAACAAAATCGCCATAAAGCAATTTATGACGCAATGCAATATGTCATAAAGTACTTCCTGTGGTCAACTCCTGATGTTTGACACTGCAGGTGGTCAGCAGTTGAGCCCAAAAGTTCTGTTGCTAAGCGAAACAGTTGTTATAAGTGAGTTTTGCCCCATTTTACAACTTTTTCCGCCACGTTTGTTTAAGGGAATCACTGCCGTTGTTTAGTCCCAGGGCCGTTAAGTGAATCTGGCTTCCATCATCAGAAGGTTGCAAAAGGTTATCACGTAACCCACACTGCGACCGTCATAAATACGAGCCAATCGCCAAGCGTCCGAATTTTCCTCACGTGTGAGGAGCCTGGGGACGCTGCAATGGGGGCAAATGGGGAAAACGGTCGTAAATCACTTTTGTTAGTGCCATTGTAACTTTGAACAATCACTAAGAGAAGGATTGTAAGTTGAAGACCATGTGACCTGTTCAACATGGGACACTGCAGGCAACTCGTCTTTTGCATTTTGGGGGGGAGGGGGAGAGGACACAGAGAAACCTCCAAGTGGCCTCAAAGACCCCCTCAAAAGGAATGCAAAGGACCAGCTGCTTGCAAGGAGTATCAATCCTTCCCTTCCCCACCATCCATCCAGAGCTGAAGAAGCTCCTTGGATGAGAAGCGAAGCGTCTTCAAAGAAAAAAAACCCAAGAAAGTCCGTTTGTCCCTTGAAAAAAGCACCTTTGGGACTACCAAGAATTGTGTTGAGTGGGAGAGTATTCCGTAAAATTGCAAAATCTAAGTAGTCTCTCTCTCCCAGGAAGCTAAGAGGGGGTGATGGGGGCCTTTTGAGTGCCCCAGGGTTTGTCTTTGGTTCTGTGGGACGCAGTGGCTCAATAGCTAAGAGGCTGAGCTTGTCGATCAGAAAGGACGGCAGTTGGGCGGTTTGAAACCCTAGCGCCGCATAACGGAGTGAGCTCCCGTGACTTGTCCCAGCTTCTGCCATCCTAGCAGTTCGAAAGCACATAAAAATGCAAGTAGAAAAACAAGGAACCACCTTTGGTGGGAAGGAAACAGCGTTCCGTGGGCCTTCGGTGCCGAATCATGCCAGCCACATGACCACGGAAACGTCTTTAGACAACGCTGGCTCTTCAGCTTTGAAACGGGCATGAGCACCGCCCCCTAGAGTCAGGAACGACTAGCACGTGTGTCTTGCAGGGCAAATTGTCAGTCACCACACTAGAAACATTTTCCAAGAGGGTTTTATAATTTGAAATGGCTAAAAACAGAGGGGGGGGGTGGGCTTCTTAAAGACTCCATTCATCTCCTAATCTGCAAAGGGGAAACATTATTTTTATTAAGAATTCATCCTCCAACGCCTCGGAAGAGAAAGGAAAGAAGGCCAAAAGAAGAGCAAGAAGGCGTAAAACGAAAAGTGAAGCCAGGAAGAAAACGGAGGATTACTGTTTCCGCTGTGGGGACGGAGGGCAGCTGGTCCTGTGTGACCGCAAGTCTTGCACCAAGGCCTATCACCTCTCCTGCCTTGATTTGGTAAAGCGGCCTTTCGGTGAGTAAGAAGGAAGCTTTGAGATAAGCATCAATTCCATAACAAAGATTTTGGATCCCCAAAATCCAACAAATTCCAACTTTAGGAGGAGTTTTCCTAAGGCAGTGGATCCCAAACTTGGCAACTTTAAGACTTGTGGACTTCAACTCCCAGAATTCTCCAGCCAGCAGAGCTCTGCTGGCTGGAGAATTCTGGGAGTTGAAG